TGCTCTTTTGTGTTTAGAACAATATATTCTAATTTTTAAAGTATCGAATTGAATTTTTGTTCAATAAAAATATTTCAAATGCGACTGTAGCTTTTTTTCCCCAAAACTTTGTCTTCAAAATAAGGGTGCGTCTTATATTCCAAAAAATATGGTACATACCAATTTTGAACAATTACTTTTATAACAATTGAATTAATCAAAAATCTTGCAACATTAATTGATGTTGGAGCTGGGCAATTAGTTCAATTAACTATAAGCATAGATTAAATCAACTAATTTCATGAAAATAATCAAGTTATCAAAATAAGTGTTTCTGATTTTTACTGTTCTTGGTTATTCCAACTATACAAACAATCAAAATATTACCAATATAATTTCTCATTATTATTTTCAATAATTCAAAATTGTTCAAGCTTTATTGATTAGTGTATAACACATTAAAATAATAAACTAATCAAAATTAGTTTCCAATAATTACTTTCTAAGTTATTTCAACTATCCAAGCTTCATGCGAGAAAAATCAAGTACTTGAATGTAATCGATTAATAGGCCCAATGATTAAATGATTAGTCAGTTCCACTCTTCAACAAGCTCTAACTGATTCTCACAGATAATCAACAGTCCAGCTCTAAAGACATGATACACGTGCATTTCTAACATTGAGAGAATGCTCCTTCTAGAATATTTCTTGTAATATTTCAAACCTCTTAAAATTCTCCTCGTAGCTGTAAGTAAGGTATAGAAAACTTACACCTTACAACAAAAGTTGCAAATGTACCAAAAACATTATTTAATCTTAAATAATATTAAGACACCTATGGACACATAAACTGAGTAAAAAGGTACAAAATCCAATCAAAGATTCAATTTTGACCTAATAAAACATCTAGTATCCAGCAATAGTTTAAGTTTTCAGTACAGCAGGTTAACTCCTATGGCTCTCAGTAATCCAACCAGCATCACTAAAACAGCTTAGTTTCTTCAATATACAATAAAACAACTAAATTAGGCATATTAATAAAAAACAATGGCATATTAGCACATAAATAATGCAGTGTGTTGCAACAGTACAATTATTGTATCATGAAACATACGAAGCCTTTATAACGCATGTTAATTTGAATTTCGATATTAACAAATTAAAGTTTAATGCCAATACATATAATTGTTAGAATTGTCCTTTATTTATTATATTTTCCAACTTACAATAACAACTAACACCACAATTGGGTATCATATACAATCTTTTTCAATTGTTCAGGCTATGAGAGAAGACCACTTTCCCGTTAAACAACTGTTCTTTCAATATAATGGCAAGGGATCCAATTGCTTATTTGTTGTTCTACAACACTGTAATTTCTTGTTCATTACATTAATAACAGTTTCATATAATAGAATCTCTCAAATGAGTTTTACACTAGAATTCCTGTTCCAATATCAAATCAACTTTGCTAAAGTTGGTGTACAACATTCAGATTCTATAGTACTTTCAGCCGATAATGTCATCAAGTCTCTGTGTGTGCATCATATTTACAATATATTCATTGTCTCTTACCTGCCATTTAGTTAAATTTGTTTTAATAGAATGGAATTTATGTTAATCTAGAAAAGAATGGGAGATCATATCTTTACTACTAAAATACCAACATATTTACCTTTAGGCTAAACAGATTACTTGAAATTTACACTTAATGCTGCTGGTATTGTATGACTATAATACTGCTGTAACATTGTTCTTCTGTTGGCACATTCCTTAAAATTATCTGGTGAAAATTAAAAGTCCAGTACATGTAACAAGAAAAAATTAGTTTATTTCTTCCAACTTTGTACACTTTGTAACTTGTAGGTCTAAATAACTTTAAAAATAATGCTCAAATGGAAATACCTCAACTAACATAAAAAATCAACTTTTTCTGTACCACTTAAGCTGACTGATTAAGTAAATGAAAACAAAACACTAACTAAGGACACAGAAATGTGGCAAATTTGATGAGACATGACTCACAGAAGTCTCCTCGCCTTCCAAGAGATTCCAGAATAAGAGATATGGATCAATTTCATACCCATCTTATCAATTTAACTGGAGATAAATCCTGGGAACTGAAGGATCCCAATAAATAAAGTCATTGGCTAGCAGCTCTAAAGGCATTAGTGCAGGCAACATAACACTTCAAGACCCTCACTGAACATAAACTATCGAGATCTGATCGGCCATGGAAGTGAGATATAATAATGAGATGAAATAGTGAAAAGGATTTATTCCGTTCCCTGGCTGCCAGTGTCTTAGGGAAGAAGAACCCATCTGAGAACATAGATAGAATGATAAATAATCCTGTGAACAATCAGCGCAAACCACTTCAGCTGGCAATGTCTGTAGTGCAGCAATAATGAAAATTATATTTTCAGGGAAAGGTGATACATGGTACATGAGGCTAAGGTTGAGAAAGGGCATGTAATGCCACCTTAATATACCAATTAGGTAACTGAAATTATTGTCTGGAACAAAGAACCCAAAGCAATATGAGGAAGCCAGAGAGTACTTGGGACTCAAAGAATTTGACTTGAGTATCGAAAGGTAGTCGATAAGACCACCTTATACAGGGCAATTGTGGAAGATGCAAAATCCTTGTCACAGAGCCAGGTCAAAAAACGAGTTATGGTTGGCACTTCTGATCAAAATGGGTTCAACATCCTCTCAATACACCATTGCTGATATGTGTGCCATTTCAGTTGATAAATGTCCATTGTGGGACTAAGCAAAGACTGAGAAAGATACATGGCAACCTTAGAAATTAAACCCCATTACTGTGCAAAGGACTGCATAACCTCCATGCATGATGCTTGAGCTTCTGGATAACTGGATGTACGATGTAAGATCATAGCTGCCTCAACAGAGATGGCCAAAGAGGAAGTGGTGGGCACTCCTGAAGATACCCCGGAAGTAGAAACCAGGGTTTAGCTGCCAATCCGGTGCTATCAACAAGACCCGATAATGGGTTGGATTGAATCATAGCTATTACCTTGGACAACATACAAATTGGTGGGAAAGCCTAGAGGTGTAATCCCATCCAGTTTTGATGGAATGCATCTATTGTCAAAGCCCAAAGGTGAGATTTCAGAGACCAAATTGCAAGTAGTTGGGTATTCCAATGAGTGGCCCACACACCAATCGTAAGTGTTTCAAAATAAGAGTCAGTCCAACAGAAAATCTCTTGATGCAGTGTACGTTCTGTTGGGAGAATCTGTTTGGGCCAAGACAATTTATCTGCCACCAGAGTCATCACCTGTGGAACATGACAAGCTAGTAGGGTGATATGATAGGAGTGGTCCTAAGAAAGAAGATCCAAGGTTCAAAAACAAAGAGCCCTGGACAAAGTGCCCCCTTGACTTCACTGTAGAATTGAGAAAGTGAAGCCTGATGATTTTTTTCTTTAATAAGCCCAGACCATAAGACATCGCATTTGAACAGCAAGAAGGTCTAAAACATTGTGTAGGGAAGCCTCGTCATCCATGCATAGACCCTGGAATTCCTTACCACTGAGATATGTACCCCATCCCTAATGCAAGGCATCTGTGAAGAGATGGATCTCTGGGTGAGGTGGCAGCAGAGGAACCCACATCTTAGTATTGTTCTAATCTAACCACCCTTTAAGGTCAAAGAGAATGATCCTGAATAAGGAAACTGGGGAATCCAGTGAATTGCTGTTCATGATCCATTAGTCACATAAAGGCCATTAAAGGGATCTCTTGTGTCCTCATTTGAAAGGAATGAGGGATATCAGCGATCTTCACATTCCCAAAAGAAAAATATCATTTGCACTGTGGGGGGAGAAGGAGTAGTAAGAGTCAGACTTCCTGTTCCAGAGCTTGGAGCCAGAAGGGAGTTGTCTGAGCCTACTGAGATAGGTGATGAAAAAGATACCCAGACTGATGATATATTATGTTGGAGTGAGAATAGATGTCTCAGCTCTGATAATGAAGGGTCTTAGTTATTTCTGAAAGTAGAATCCGGGTGCAAAATTCTGCCAATTGACAATATGGTACCAGCAGTAACCAGTTGTCCATGAAATAGTGTGTACACAGACCTAGGGAAAGGAGGTAATGAGAAAAAACTTGTATGAATCGGCAGAACACATATGGTGCCAATAATATTCTGAAGGTCAGAGCCCTGAACTATTGCATCTGACCTTTGTGCACAAAACACAGACAGTGGTGAGATGCCACTGTTATGGAAACGTACAGATAGGAGTCAGTGACATCTAACTTGGACAACCACAACCTTAGTTATAAATAACAAATCTGAGTAAGGAATGACTCCTTTGTGAACTTTGGTGGATTTAGCAGAGAAATCTGTTAGTGAACACTTTTTTTGAGAAAAAGTGATATTATCTGAATGATATGCTTATATACAGTACCAGGATAGAGGGTGCATTGACATAGATGGAGAGTGTCACGTGACAGATATAACCAGGGGCAATTAAGTGGGGAATAAAAGACTGAAGCAAGCAAGAACAAATTCAGACCAATGAGAGATGGGCAAAGGAAGGAAACCCTGGCAGTTGAGCAATAGCTGTAGTGAGAGTGGAGGGATGTTTTAGAATACAGATAGAATAGTCTCCTGTCCCTTGTTGTCACTGACCATCCTGCCACTGGGGAAGTTATTTCAGAGTAGGTGGTCAAGTGAAGATAGCTCCATCCTTAATGATCCTATGCAAGTAGTCTTGACAGGAATTCTGGATTTCTCAGCAGGTTAAGTTTTCACTGTCAAGTTTTTTGCTGAAGTTACTGTAAAGTTATTTGAAGCTAGCTTAACCTTGCAACTGTGTCTCTGCATCAAGTCAGTTCTCAATATGCACTCTTCTTTGATGTCAATTACCCACACAACGTGAGGTATTGAGAAGCTACCTATATGAAAGTGTAACTTAATTTTTTCTCTTGCTGGACCTATTGTTCCACTTGTTGCATCAATCCCTCTTCTTTTTTCATCTCTGGAGGCAATTTTCCATCTTCCATTAACAAATCGGGTTGAACAATTATAGCTATAGAACCAGTGTTGATCAACATGCTGCAACATTTTTCATCTATAAGTCCATGAATTATTTTCCTTATATACTGAAGTTCTTACTTCATTTGGTGTATATGGAATATTCTCAGCTGAACTTCCTATAAATCCAGCAAGTTGGTGTCTAGTTAACTCTCTGTTGTTGCTTTGATCTGGTTGGGCTCAGAGGTGCATCCTCACAATGACGACTTTAATCTACACTTCCCCACAATATGTCCTTTCAAGTTACACTTAAAACACCTATTTTCTCCATTCCATGAAACTAGCTCCCTTACTAATCCTGGTAGTTCTATACTTTTGTCAGCTGGAACCAATGTTTCAACACTACTCAATCTCATGATCCTATAATTTTGAGATGGTGATTTTAGTTAGTTGCCACTTTAATGGATTTTAGTTCCATTGCCAACTGGAAAGCTACCCTTAAAGATATAAACCTACTTTGCTTTAGCCTATTTCTAATATCCTCTTCATGATGACATCCATAAATTGGTCATGTGCCAAAACATCCATCATTTCATGAGGAGCCTCTGGGTAAGGTAATTGGGCCTCTCCAAATCTTCCTCAAGTTCATTTGAGGTCTCTCGTTTTCTCCATACCTTGCTAGACTTGATGCCTACTAATGCTTGGTAGTTGTTACAGCTCTCAACTGGAAAGTTACTTAATGTTGTCAAAGCTAGTCCTTTTAAATGGACAGCAAGGTGGATGGCTTGTTTTTCACTATTCCACCTAATCATTCTGGAAATGATTTCAAACTAAGCATGGTATGACTTCAATGATACCTGCCCATCACAATCCATTGGTTTCTGTATTGGCCTGCTATACTATGGCACTAGATTTGGCAGGTTCATGGCTGGAATAGTCCAGAAAGTTCCTTCAGTAACATATGGTACAGCAGTAGTCATAATTGGTCTTAACCAAATAAGTTTTCCTATTCCACATTTTGTAGATGATGTTTTAGAACTTTTGAGCTGAAGCAGAAAAAAGTTTTGGCTGGTATAATCTATACATTTAATGATTCATTTTCCAGATATTTCATTCTGTAGGTTATGTTCTTTTTTTTACCTTGTTGATGTCTTTCTTTACTTCATTCATGTTTTTTTTTTGTACTTTAATTTTCACTTTGTTAATTTTGTCACCAAATCCACTCCAAACTTTTCAATTTTATTGTTGCAATCTCTCTATCTTCAATGGCTTCATTTAACTTGTCTTCAATAATTTTGTTCTGGTTTTAATTCTTCTTTAAATTCTAAGTGTCTTTTAATTCCTCCCTTAAATTCCTGTCACACCTTTCTTATTTTTTTGTCCTTCTCTTCTTTTAATTTTCAATCTCTTTCTTCTAATTTTATATCACATTCTTCTTTTAATTTCATTCGCTTCCTTTTTGATTATAATAATTTTGTCATTTTAAGATATTGTTTAGATCTCACTACTTGACCTCATGGTGACCATCTTCAACAGCTTTAGTTTATTTCAAGTATATTCAAAGTTCTATTTTACTTTCATCAAAATAATCCCACTTCAGACAGTAGTTTATTTTATCATTAGTAGTTTCTTTAAAATCATCTGGTGGAAATAATTCAAAGTACAGTCCACATGACAGTAAAAACGTTTATTTCCTCCTTAACATTTCTTTACAGGCTTGGACACTTTGTAACTTGTAGATTAAGTAATTTTCAAAATGATGCTCAAATTAAAATAGCTTGACTAATGTAAAAAATACTTACTTGAACAACTTCTTAGCTGGGTATTAAGTAATTGAATACAACCCTGACAATTAATTCTATACTTCACCGATTCACTCTGCTAGCTTGTTTTAGAAATTTCACAAGGCTTGTCCTTCATTAATATTCTCCAATATTCTAAGACTAACTTGATCATAACATGATGCACCTTTTAGTTGACATCTAAACCACATTATAAACTATAGCTTATGATAATATAATCTCTCACAAACTCAACAAATAATAATATCATCCTTAATCATACATTATTTTACTATCCCTTACTTTGGTGACATATAATACTAAATTGTTTATATTCTTCACACTACAGTTAATGTTTTTCACAGCATTTCTATCTAAGTGTCTCATATTAATAACTTAAAATTAGATGTAGTTTACAAAATCATTACAATACATGAACATTCTAAAAACTGAGCAATGTGTAATATCATTGTTAATGTTACACTTACACAAGTTACAGACATAATATTGTCAATTTTAAAGCAAATACTTGGCACTTGCTTCTAATTTAATACACACGTTTATGTTAAATGCACCAAGTTTAATAATATTAATTTTATTATATTTACTTATCAGTACTTTAATCATAACTTGTAGCAACTTTTAAAGTTTTTTCACCTCACCTATGGTTACTACAATCTGAATTTCACCAAACTCGAAGCATGAAAGAAAAACCAGTGCTTTGGAAAAGAGAGAGAACAGGCCTATAATTAATAATTGATTTTTACAATTGTATCAATGTCGGAGCATAAAAAATTTAACACCATAAAGGGTTAATTTCAGACCAAATTACTACTAATAACATTAGTATTACCTAACATTCTTAATCTTAGTAACAATAGTTATTAGTGACATGCGAGATGGTAACAAATTGATTAGCCACGTACAACTACTTAACTTCATCATCAGCACATTAATTAAATGTATTAGAACTATAACTTACAGCTACAACTACAAGTCTCAACATTTTTACTGTGTCACCTAAGCCTAATATTTCGATTTATTTAACTTTTGTAGTAACGGACTAATACTAAGAGCGAGACACTGAAACTATCAGTGGCAGTGAAACTGAGACAGTGACTCAATGAGAGCAAGAAACATTTCCTACTTAATTGTGTAATACTTTACCAAAAATACTATACATTGCAAACATTTCTTCACTTTACCACAGATATCTTTAATCAGTAACAGTCCAGGCAGGTGCAAAATGACTTAGTGAAGTAACAACAGACCACTGAAAGATGGCAAACAATAAAGAAAATGCATTTGTTAATAACCGTCCATGTTCTCCTGTACCCTGAACGCCGACAATACAGCAGTGAGTTGTGGGTAGTTAGATGATGCGCCTCTCGAAAACACCACCAGGCTGCAGACGAATTCTATTATATTTTAAATTTTGCATCAATATAATAAATTCTAACATAAATCGTATTAAAGAAAACAAAGACCACTAACAATCATAGAAGAAAATACTATACGCAATATCGAAGCGTAATATAATAATCGAAAATGCTAACAAAATAAAATATAACATGATGTTTTGGGACAACAAGGGACCTATTGGTTCATCTCGGCTGTCCCATCCTCTAAACTAAGCTAAAACTATTAAGTAAATAAATTAAAAAATAGAATCTCAAAACCAACCCTTATTATTCATATAGTCATCAAGCTTTCAATTAAACTCACATTTACTGCCTCCACAACATCCTAAGGCAACCCATTCCATAGGTTAGGAAAAACAAAACTTAGCTGAAGAATAATAATGGTTGGAGACGGCTTGAATCGGTAATGTAGAAAAACTTTAATATAAGTTTAACATAACAGCAAATGTACAACGTTTCGACAAGGTTTTGTCGTCACTTATATTGAAGTTTTTCTTCATTACCCATTCAAGCCATCTCCAACCATTATTAATCTCAAAGTGGGTTTCTCGTCATCGAATTAGCTGAAGAATGACTCTTAGCCTGACAAAATTTATATATTTGTGTCCCATAGTTCTACTATTCTCACTGTTAAGTATGAAAAATGATTATACATCAACACTAACAATTCCCTTTAAAATTTTAAAAACCTCAATCAGATCTTCTTTTTCAAGAGAAAACAATTTGAGAAATATCAATCTCTCCTCATAAGACAATTCTTCCATCTCAGGAACCGTTTTGCTAACCTTCCCCTGAACCCTTTCCAACAATTCAATGCCCTTCCTAAGGTAAGAAGTCCAAGACTGAACACAATATTCCCAATGTGGCCTAACCAGTGACCTATACAATGTCCCCCAGTGGCACAGCAATATGTCTGCAGACTTACAACACTAGAAACCGGGTTTTGATACCCGTGGTGGGTAGGTCCCAAATAGCCCGTTGTGTAGCTTTGTGCTTAACTTCAAACAAACAAACCTATACAATGAAATTGTGACCTCTTTAGACTTGTATTTAGTATTTCTGTAGATACAACCTAAAATCCTATTTACCCTACCATTTTTTTTCTAGTTGTTGTTGAGGTTGTTAGAATATCTAAGCTTTGTGCAATCGTTGAAATAGGATATAACGTCGTTCCGGGAATGGAAGTTAGGATTGGAAAACATTCATAAATGTAGTTACTCTAGCATACTACACCATTGATATTTTCTCACTATAATTTATTGGTTTTAAATATCTCTCCACGTTCACTCGGTTACGTTTCTCGAAAGCTTCCTTTGCACAGTACTAGCCTACAGACTAGCGTATTCACACCAGTTTCTGATATTTGTTTGTTTGTTGTTAAACAGCTACACAATGGGCTATCTGTATTGTGCCCTTCGCGAATATCGAAGCTCGATTTGTAGCGTTATGATTATTTAGACTTCCCACAGCTGAGCCAACGAAAAGGCCTGAGGGTTGAAAGGAACTTAATCTATATTATAAAACGGCTTGTGTTTGTATATCTGTTTGTCTGTGACTAAACCTTTCCAATTTTTTGACCTCTTACACAGAGTCTTGGATATGCCACAAAGGGATTATAAAACCCTTCAATGTATTCATTTTCCTTTTTTATTTTATTTTATTTTCCCACCTTGCTACTGTGGTATATCATATTATTTCTATCCCCTCGTATTAATATAAGTTTGATTGCAATTAAACACAAAGCTACTTAACGAACTATATGTACTATGTCCATGCAGTTTTCATTCAACACGTTGGTCAAGGGAGTTGTTAAGTAACTTTCGCTCTGGCTATCTATTGTTGTGTGTCAGCCATCGGAGATAACACTTTATCTACCCGTTGGGAAATATCTGCAAATTTGCATTTAGTGTATGAAAATTTACAGCAATTTTCTCCAATTAAT